ATATGGCACCTTGTTTTATCAATCTTGTTCGCTCAGCCTCTGAAGTTGTCCAGAAGTCTGCAACGCAGTGGTGTCTTTGAATTATTCTGACTTGATCTTAGAGAGATGCTCAGCTTTTTACTTGTGCAAGCTCCAGGCACAAGGCTGAGCATTCCCTCACTGTGGTACAGACTTTGAGCCATGGATCTTTTGCAGGTGTGTGGGACTGGGAACACTATCTTGTTAGCCTGCTTCTTTGCAGTTTGATGAATGCGTGTGATTTTTTTGTTTCTGGAAGAGTACAAGTAAGTGGACAAGTAAAAACTCATCTGAACATGATTGTCACTGCCAATTAAATTAGAGAGTATTCATCTGGAAGGTCACTCCTTGACATTAGGAAAACCATGGATGACAATCTTCTAAGATGAAGACTGGTGGAGAAACTCCCATCAGCACATGGCTAAGAAATATTTGGATACTTCAGAGCTTTCACCTAGAGGGCACAATAACATGCTCTTTTTTCTAGAAATTAGCTAACTGACCAAGGTAGATTTTCTGTCTTGTTGATAAGGGGCATTTGAATATCTCCCAAAGCCACTCCTACCAGCTACTTGCCGAGTTGTTCGGGCAGTGCTATGCTGAAACCAGCTCATATGTCAAAGCTGGCTCTCGGGAACCTGGGCACGTTTGAGCTGGCTGATGTTAAGCTAGCAGTTTGACGTTGGTTCCGATGAGATTGTGTACACATAGAAACTCGGAAGTTTACCAGAGCAGTTGTCAAACACCTAGCTACACAGCAGAGATAAAACTGTTTCTCAGTCTCACAGAAGGAAATCAAAGGTGCTCCTGCATATTGGGATGATCAAGAGTTTTTTATGTAGACAGTGGGGAGAAAAAACATGTCCTCGAACCTCCTGAGGATGGTGGCACGTTATCCAGCAGGGGGTGGAACAAGACAGCTAGTAATGGCTGACCGCTTTGCTTATGTGCATTGGTCTTAGAGTTTTAGTTCTGAGTTTCTTCTGTTCAGTGGACAGGTTTCGCTTTTGCTCAAATATCACAACATCGGAACGTTCCTCTATTGAGGCATTGCTCAGAGGCCGAGAAATCAGACCACCTGAGGCATACTTTAGCCTCTGGGAATGAATCCCAAATTGAATCTGAACGAATCATTTAACTTGTTTTTTTGGTTTATCCACTTACAAAGATGAATGACTCAAGATTTGCCTCTTTGAAAAGTAGATAGTGGAATAAAAAGAACTAGCCTTGGAGCAAAGTCCACAAAAGTACGCTCCTCAATTTGTCTGCTGGCTTGTATCTGTTTTGACTACACTGGCAGATTACTACCACACATTTGAAAATTAGCAAATGGTCAGTTTGGCCAGACTCTGACAGGCAGAGTCACTAATACTGTGGATATATTCTCATGTGCTGTAATAACTTTAAGGAATATTTGATACTACGTACACAAGGAATGCTCTGGTCAAAGTGGTGTAGGTGTATTTGTCTGTGAAATACACTCTCAGTTTCCATAGGCCACATCAGAAGCATCCAGGAGTCTTTTTAGGTTGGATTTATCTCAGGGTAGGATGATTCAGAGATGTGGATCAAGGAGCAAGAACTCTATCTCAAGGTGTTCCTCATGATGTACATTGTTGCTCACACATCATCAGCATCAACCAGGTCCTAATTCCCACCCCCACCCCCCACTGTCACTTGAAACTGGAGTCAGTTGCTCAGCAACTGGCTCCTCATTGATTCTAACAATAAGAGAATGAGCTTCATAGAGGGTTAAAACATCTATTCAAACACACATATCTTTAACAAATCGTCACAATAAAAATAAATGTTCAGCCATACTACGTAACAAATAATAACATTCTAAAACTTTTCCCCGTTCGAAATGTTATCTTTATGTGGCAAAGCAGTCAGAGTGTGAGAGAGGCAGGGTTAGTCATTTTGGTCCTTGGTATCAACTCACCAGTGGCCTTGATTAAGTGGGCCACAGATTAAGCGGCTTAGACAGACTGGCCAAGATGCCCTCAATTCCCAGCACCCATGGTAGTCCATCAGAGCTCTTCAGTCACACACACACAGCCTCGCCTCTGGTCAAAGGTCAGTTATACCCATTTGGGAAGTAGCAGAGCTAAGCAAATGTTTGTCTGATATACTCAGTTATGAGAAGGAGGGCCTGAAGGACCTAGAACTCTACAGAAAAGTTCTCAGAATGTCACTTGAATGGAACGAAGAACCACCGAAGTTACGACGCTCTGTACTGTCTTAGCGAACTGAACTAATACGATAATTCAAAGCCTGTTGTTGAAATTGCTTGGGACATGGAGAACGTTTCTTAACTCCAGGCTCCCCTGCTGAAAGTACACAGCCACTTCCAACTTTCAGCTTCTAAATCATGCATACATTCTATTAAAACAAGATTTTTATTAAGATGAACATGTTATCTGGGACAATTTCAGCTGTCAGCTACGTACCATCAATAACTGACCTGGGATTTATCAGACAATGATCTCACAAGAGGATTTTCTTAAGGGACAGTGGGTGGTTCTCAGCAGACTGCTGTGTCCTGGCCAAGCAGCTACTCTATTGCTGTGTACCCGGGCAAGTGCATTTAATAATCTTTCCCCCTTCTTCCCTTATGGCCTCTCTCCATTATGTTTGTGCTCCAAAGATTCTAGATCCAAACTGTTCTTCTTTGAGCTTATCTTTGATACTGATAAGATTAAGGTGTAGAAATATAACTTCTTCAAAAATCACCTATGTGAATTTTTGGAAAAATAATCGCTCTGGTCTCTGTATCTCAATTTTTATATTTGTAAAGCCACGAAGGGCTAAAGAACTCAATGGAGCCTCCCTTTCCATGGTTCCTGCTTCAGTGGGGGCCCACGAGTTACTGTCTGCGTGTCTGGTACCTTGCCTGCAGTTAGAAAGCACTTACTTACATTCATTGAATTCCCTGTAACATTAGTTTTATCCAGGCCCTCACATTCATCAGCACTGACAGCATTGGTATCAGGAGGCTGGATGACTGAGTGGGGTCTTTCTTTGTACATCCTTGCTGTAGCCCATGTCTGATATTCAGATCACAGACAAATGGTTCAGTGGTCATGGTCGGCACCGCTCAACATACAGTACCACTAAACCAGCTTTATACGGTTAAAGTTACTTAGAACAAGAACACATCTAGGACGCAGACTGATGGTACCCTGTCTATCATGTTCAAGGTCCTGGGTTGGATTCCAAGTTGTTGTATTCACACACAACCCCTAAATTTCTGGGTGTGGGAGGAAGTCAGGACAACCAGCCTCTGACTGTGTCTTCCCAGGATCAACGTGACCCTCAGAACAGCTGATGAAACCAAAGATCTAGCAATGCGCAGGCCACCAGGGGTTTGTGATTTCCTTTTCTCCTCTGCTACTTAATTAGTTATTTTCAGACATCCTTGGGGGCTTTACAGTGAAATTCATTCACATAGCTGACGGTGTTCTCTGTTCGAAGTAGAAAAAAAAGAGAGAGAGAATATTCTAACAAAAGAAATATGCTAGCCAGATCCAACTAAATGAGGCCAACCAAGAAGGGCAGAGGTATGAATGGCACCACCCATAGAGGAAGCTCAGCTGTCCCTCTTCTCTGTCCACTGCGCTTGAGTCTACAAGCCTGGAGACTGGGAGAACCAACAAGCTCTGCCTGCCTTTCTAATAAGGTAGCATCTTGAAAGCAGCTACACAGGTTTACACTTTGAAATAGCCTTGAAAAACTGAAAAAAAAAAAGTACGGTAAGCTGGTGGCTGCATTTCCAAACCATTGGAGCAGCAGGTTTAGGGTACAACTGATGGTAAAAATAGCCATAAACAAACAAAATCTTCCACAACCATTGTTGATGAGATCAAATTTAAAAAGACCCTCTGGATAATTAACTAGCTTTGGGGATCTTCTGATCTTTGGGTACTTTATCTTTCCCAGTGCAAACAGTCCAGATTTATATTTAGTAAGATCTAGTGGGCACATTGAGATTAAAGCTCTGGAATCAGAACCTGCCCTGGATAATCTTGGCATTAATATCCCTTAGCTGCAACCAGATGAACTAAGTGCTCAACAATAGCCAGGCCTTTCAATCATGACAATAACTGACGTAATTCTGTCAGTTATCAGTCTCAGTGTCCTGTGCTCTTTAAAGTGACAGGGCACAGCCATGGTGTGGTTTAAAGTGACAGAGTACAGCCATGGTGTGCTTTGCATGCCCGTGAAATTATCATTGAATTTTAAAGTGTTTTAAAAATAGCTTATACTTTTAATTTTCTTATTCTCTATAGAGTTAATGATTCATATTTTAAAATATTTACCCTTATCTATCTGAATGATTGACATTCATAGGGAGTAAGATGGGCCACAGTTGGTATTGTGTTTGGATCTCAATGGTCTTCTTTCACTAGATTGTATCTGGGAATGAGCTAGCTTTTTGAGAAGAACAGTGAAGCTTCAGGACCATGTGGTACCCAAGTACAAGGACTGTGTGTTTCTTTGCTGCACTTCTTTTTAGACTTGATTGTTTCTTCCCAAAGAGGGGCAGTGCACTGACGATTGAACTGTAGCAATGGTTTTTAAAAGTTATTTACAACACTGTAAGCAATCTAGATGAGATTTCTGGAAAGGGATGAGCCGCCCCTCTGGAACATATAACAAATGTGCTCCACAGGCACTTGGAAAGAGGAAAGAAACTCTTATTAAAATTTAACATCAACTTGGCCAGACTTAGGGTTGAACTGGAAGAACAAAGTGCTACTCAGTGTAAAAGCCTGAGATGGAATTTCTACTGATACAGCTGAAAGAATGAGAACAATGGCCAACTGATCTCAAATTCCAAAGGTTATTTAGGACCACATCTTGCCACTGCATAAAGGCTTTTCTTTTTCAAATGCTCAATGTATAGGCGCACAGACTTGGTTTCAGTAGAACAGAGAATAGTTTCTATAGCTGTCTCAAAGAAAGCAAGCGTGTCTAGGTGGTGTTGGTGGGGCTGTCACAGAAAGGAGCTGACGTGACTAATGGCCAGCCTGGCCAAAGCTCTAGCTTGTCTTCCACACCAACTCTTGTGCTTCTCAAATGGTCACACTTGGTAGGGTATATAACTTGCAAACACTCTTCTTCCCTTTTCTTCATAGTCCCCAGGCTTTTAAATGACACCCAATGCCTCTTTGTTCTGAGAGAGTGCCCAGCCTAGAGACTGCGGAAGGCCTAAGCTAGAAGGCCTTTGTAGAATCTGCCACAATTTCACTCATGCCAACAGATGCAATGCCACCCACACCGTGGGCTTCCTTTGTGACAGAAAAGAGGCACTGTAGCATATGCTGCTCTACCCAGCTAGATCACCCTCCTGTAGAACAACAGGATGGACAGGTGGCAATTTGATAAGAGGCATTTCCTATAGAATTCATCATGAAGTAAGTCATCATGATTTTTTCAGTTTGTCAGGAAATATCAAAAGTTACCCAGAGCCTTGAACACATCAAGTACAGATGCAAACACATACAAGCAAAGCGAACCCATAATTGTTCCTAACAGATTATTAAATCCAATGCTAGTAGGGAAACAGGAAGTGTGTGAGTGAGTGAGTGAGTGTGTGTGTGTGTGTGTGTGTGTGTGTGTATGTATGACAGAGGGGGGGAAGGGAGAGGGAGGAAGGTATGGAGAGAGAGGAGAGAGAGAGAAAGAGAAAGAGAGAGAGAGAAAAGGAGGATATGCAATCTGCAAACCACAGTTTTTTGTTTTTGAAGAGTCTGATCCCCCTGGCAAAAGAGATCCTGCTGCAGTTGGCCAGAGCTCTCTGGTTATGAGGACTGAATTGGCATAGAGCTGAAGAGACGAGAGCCATGGTCCTCATCCATATGGGAGTCAGTTTATTATTAAAATACAAACTCAGAACTATTTCAAGCCATTCTCTGTGCAGCATACTTCCAAATGCATTATTACCTTTACCAATCAACTCTAATTCACGTGGCTTCAATGCACCTGTCCTATGTTTGTTAAGACCAGTCAAAGAGCAGTGCAAAAGAGAAAGAGAAGATATCTTTTCCTGTGAGTGGCACACAAGCTTTGCCAGGTTGTCTCTGGGGTTCTATTCTGGAGACTATTCAATTTGGTTTGGGGGCACTTTTAAACAGCCATTTGGCACTTTCCACCTGGAGTTCTTAGGCACAGTGTGACAGAGTGAGCTTGGTGAGCCCTTCGCCATGCATTCGATAGAGCAGCTGAAACTCAGCAGGCAGCTGGTGAGACTCCTGCCACTTGGTGGTAAATTTGGTTCCTTTTTTGTCATAGTAATGGTATGGAAGATCCTCCCTGGTGTTGGGGTCAAATCCGAAAGGCCAGAATCCATACAAGTGGATCTCTTCACATATCGCAGATGCAAGAGTGTACATCAGAATACCTGTGCTCAGCCGTTTGGGTGACAAGTGTTTGTTTTTCCAGTACCTGGAGAACAATAAGTACATAGAGATTCAGTGGCTGATACTGAATGTTTCAGGGAGATAAGTCAACAGGCAGGGCTGGGAGCTAGCTAGATTTTTCTAGACTGTTTAGGTTTCATGGATAGATACACTTTCCAGCCCCATTACGTTGGCCTGTTTTTCCTTCCGGATGAGATTTAAAATGTCATAAAAATGGAGCAGAAAGAAGAAAAATGATAAAGCAAAACTATTTTGGACTGGTTGATAAATGACGTAGGTTCAAACTGAGGCTCTGCCCATTTTTAGTAGTAACTTTAGACAAACAAGCTCTGTGTATTCAGCTGTTACACTTTGGGGTCTCCTGTTATCTCTGACATTCTCGGGAACGGCACCAGTTTATGTATGTTACCCTTGTTACAGTTATTCACCACACCCATTTTCTCAAAGGTCCCAGTTTGGACTATAAACAACACGATTACCCTTCCTTTTGGAGACACACCAATTTACTAGACTATGAGTACTCCTTCAGTGGAAGCTCAACTAAAGAGATCTTAAATTTGGAAGATTTTAGGAAGCAACAGGAAGGGAATCTCTATTACAGCATGCACCTGTGGGTACCAGGCCTTCCAGAACCCACTTGAACTTAACAGATCTGTCCTCTGGTGTGATCCCGGGGTTCCTTACATAGGAGGGCATGGGAGTTGAGGCAATGAGCAGATGAGTTAAAGAAAAAAAGTTTTACAGTTACTCTTTTTTAAATGCCCTGGATAATTGTCTCATTCTGGCTGCTTATTACAGTCTTCTAAAAGGTTGTAAAACACCAAGTGCTTGGGCCTTGCCTCCCTCACCTCATTAGATTCTTTCAAGTACATCCCAGGTAGTAGTGCTGTTCTTCAAAACTGATTCTGATAAACAGCCAGGACTGAATGCTACTGGATTATATGAAAATGTCGCATCTTTAGCTAAACTCCTTATCAAGCCATAAAGGACAGCAATGAGCTCCTTAAATACTCAAATATCTAATTATAAAAGCAGATCATGCCATTTATGATTTATCCAAGTGGGTTCCAAATGCTGCAAATCTATAAACACCTAACCATTAATCAAAAAGGGCACTGTAAAGTCAATTGTGATTTTTTTTTTTCTTTTTAAAATTACTAATTCCTTTAAAAATTGCTTTGTATAACTTAGCCACTGGTATTACAGGAATATACCTATTTATACAAGGGAAATTCTTGATTTATGGTGATTTCCATGACTATGCATTAAGAAGGGGACAGAAAATAAAAAGGGATGAGTGATGAAAAGTCTTCTCATCTGGCACTTGGTCACCAGTTAGTGATAAACTGAACTTTTTAACTAGAATGATTCTTTCATTCATTACAAAGATAAGAGTTTGTCCTCAAGAACTAAGCCAACAACTAGTGAGCTGGGTGGCTCCCATCCCCAAGAGATTACAATATTGATTTGCCATCTGGTGGGGTATGAGTTAAATGTAATAAAATATACACACCTGTTGACATGTTGCATTATATTTCCAGGCCAAGCCAACTGGACTTTTAACTGACCTCTGTGTTCAACAAAAAAGTCAACTAACGTTCTGGTTACAGTTGCAGAAGTGTGGAAGAAAAACGCAGGGATCCAGAGAATGGCCCCATCGAGCTTTTTTAAACTGAGGAAGAAGTTGTTACGGTCTTGGATGGTTAAAAGATTGTTGTAATATTTTTCCAGGATGCTGGGGTTGAAGGTTGTAAGGTTGGTTTTCCTTCCAACATCTTTTTGGAAAGCTTCCGTTGGGGCAAAGTTGCATCGAAAAACAAAATCTGATTTATCTATTTCTTGTCCGCACTGACTCCCTGTCAAGATTCCACTGTTTCCAACCACAGCACAAATATTATAACGCTTATTCATAATGGGTGACACATCTGGAAGCAGGGACCGGAAGTTATTGCTAATGGAGAAAACATATTTATGGCTGGAATAATCATAATGCATCAGTTGTCCGATCCGAACACTATTCTTGGTCAAAGAAAAATTTTTTATTACATCGACATGCTGAAGAATTTCTTGCCTAAAATAAAAAAAGATTCATTAAATACTTTCCATTCAAGAGAACCAAGTTTTCATTTTATGCTTCCATTTTGCTCAGACAAGAATCTTAAGCACATTCAATTCAAGTGAAAGTACACATTCATATTTGTGGGCTCCAAAGGGATGCCTGCTTTGTAACGCACAGGCATGACAATGTATCTCAGTCAAGTTCGGAATGTAACCTTTGGATGCTAGTAAATTCAGTGCACAGTTTTGGCTACTATTTCTTGGTTTTCTGGTCTATTAGAAGAGTGTATTTGATTAGGGGGGAGGCAGATGTCAAGCATTGTTAGAAAATACAGGGAGACAATTTACACAGGCCTCAAAGAGCTCACATTAACTCACAAACATTGGTCACTTAGAGTTTGTAACTAGGGACTACTTGTTTGCTATTGGACTGTGCTGGTCAAGAAATATCAAAAACTGCAGGTGTCCAAATAAAAACTAAATAGATATGGGTCAGTACATGACACAGTACTATCTATTATTAAAATGTAAAAATGGAAAGAGCAGTGGGCGTGGTTAAATAGTTAATAGAAATGAGACGATAATCTCATTAAAGCCTGCGGAATAATGAAGCATAATTTTTTTTTCTGTTCCATTGTATGGAATCACAATTTAGCAGGATATAGGTAATCCTTCAGAAAAAAAAAATGCCTTTGAAATCTGAAAAAAAAAAAAAACAAGGTAAGAGAAAAGTGATGCTTAGAATTGACTTCAGTTTGATTTCACATTGAGCTTTCTGTGAAATTGTCTCCTTTAGAGTCTCAGGCACTTAAAATAGTTAAGAGACAAGTTATATGCAACTTTGCTGCAGGTTCCCCAGTGACAAGAAAGCCAATTGAAACACCCATGCCTTCTGTTTAAACAACAGCAGGGTGCAAAGAAATATTCTCAAATTCCACTACAGTGTAGGCTGGCGCAGTCACTTCAGTTTTCAGCACAATTCTTAGAGCAGTGATGAGGCAACTTAAAGTGATACTGTTAAGATTAATCACAGATTTCCCGAGAAATGGATTGAACAGCAGGAAGTTTTGAGAAGGAAGTGTTCTTTTGATAGACCACTAGAAATACGTGACCCAGTGCAGGAAAATCCTGTAATCAAGTTACAGATGTGTTCAGTGTGTTTAGAGGACTGGTATACAGCATTCTACCACGAAAACTGTACTGTCTGCAAAATGAAAATTTTCTAAGGCTAACACTGAAAAGCACCTCCATGGTTTAGAATTAATGGCCACAAACTAGCTTAAAATTAAGCTACTTTAAAAATTGTAGCCATCATCCTATGATACCAATTAAAAATAACCCACAATATTTTTCAGACACCATGCGTTTTTGTTTTGATTCTGCCAGTAGATTATAATTTCTTTTTCTTTTTTTTAAGTACGATGACAGTAATGCTAGAGCAAAAACACAGCTCCCTTACTGGTTTGTAAAGTAAATATTCACAGGCCTAATGAATACACTAGATGGCTCACACTGCATTTAGTGGCATAACAATCCTACTGAGAAGGGGGTGTCTATGGCTCTGAGACCAAAATCACTGAAACTTAATTTCCTTCTTCTCCTCCCACCTAAAAACGAAACCAAACAATAAAGACAAACCTTCCTCACGTGTAAAAACAGGCTACCACAATTAATAAGAGTGAAGTTAGTTTTTTAAAAGCCGCAAACGCTTAGTAAAAACAAACAGACAAAACCAAAACAAAATTAAGTTTATATATATATATATCCACATCTTCACTAGTGATGTGATATTTTCCGTGTTTCAATAAAGTTATATAATTACATTATGAAACCTTTTCTTTTTAGTAGACAACTTTGATGCAGCCCAGACTTTACATCATGCTGCTCAGTGAAGGCCAAATTACAAAGGGTACTGACCTTCCTGATTCTTCCTTTTTAGAGGGTGCTTCAAGCCTTTGAGAGGGATGGCTACTCATCACCTCCTTTCGATTTTAGACCAGGAGGAAAAAGCCCTTACACTCGAAGGTGGGGTGAAATGAGTTGTGTCTGTGTGTGTGTGGTGGTAGCTTTGGATTTGCTTTTGTACTGCTTGTTTTATTGAGTTTCGAAATGAAAAACAACAATAAAAACCTCTCTTCCTATCCTACCTTTGACGTAAAAACGCTGTCCGATTAAATGTCCACTTAGAAGGTTTTTCTTGGAGTTCGTGGGTGAGAGAATTCGTAATGGGCACAAATGACGGGTCTAGAAACTTCAGCGCAAACTGTGACCTGAAGAGGAGCATGAGTTCAGACAGGTGCTGGCCTCAGGGGGGAGAACTCAGGGAGCAGAGCGACAGCTCCAGCGACAACCGGAGGGGGCAGCTGGCACGCGGGCAGGCCCACCCAACAGCCCCTCTCCTTTGGCACATTCTCTGCTCCTGCACGTACCCGTTGGAAGGCAAGAAAGGGGGAAACTTTCCCCCCATTGTCTAGCCCTCCCGGTGCAGGAGAGACAGTAAGAAAGATGGCGCTCACGCCGACAGCGAGAGTTGGAGCCCGGCGCAGGGCTGCAGTCCGCGGCGCGTCAGGGACTACGAGTCAGCACCGCGGACAGCAACCGCCTCCCAGCCGGACCCAGCCACCCCCCAAGCCCCAAGAATTGATTTTTGGAGAAAGGGCAGAGGAAATTCGAGACTCTGGAGAAAGGGGTGGGGGTGGGGGGAGGCTCCGGGCTTAACCTTTTCCTTCCCGAGCCCAAGTCTGATCTCCCCCTCGGCCTTTAGCTGGAGACCCCCAGAGGCCGCCTGCAGCCAAGCTCTCCTGCCCAGGCCTGGCTTTTCCAGCTTTGCCCACAGGGTGCAGCTCCTGGCTGCCACCCGCCCGGCAGCAGGCGGTGCGGGGACAGCTCCTGGCCCGCACAGGTAGGGGTGGGGCTCCGGTTTAGCTGTGCGGGGCTGCGCCCCGCGGTGACTTCGATCGGGCAAGGGTGGGCGGCCCTCGGCCCAAGGCTTGCTTCCCGCAGGGGCTGAGGAATTGCAGAAATCCAGGAGAGGAGGGGGCGGGTGGCAGCGGGGGAAGGGTCGAGGAAGGACCCCCAGGGACTTCAAGAGAATAAACCTGCGCATCGCTAGAGGAGAACGGGGAGGAGGGGAGGGGTGGCGGAGCAGTCGGCGCCTGCGCCATTAGACCGCCTCAGCCAGGCCTGCGGAGTCCGCCGCCAGTGCTCGGCCAGGGCGCCCACCTCACGCCTTTGCCCATCTCTGGGTTCAACGCCCCCTCCCGCCGTCCAAACACCGCCTCCCGCTCTTAGCACCCACACCCCAGTTTTGAGATGGGGGAGGGGATGCAGAGGAAGACTAGAAGAAATTCAATCACATCGATTAGGACAAAGGCTTTTAGGGACTTTGGGATAAAAAAAAAAAAATAAAGTGGAGAAGGAAGGGAGAGGCAGAAAAAAGGAGTGAAAGGTCCACGCAGTTACCGAGAAGCCTTCCCTGACGGTCCCCCAACACACCATCGACCCGAGGTACCCGAGGGCGCTCAGACAGAGGCCCACACTCACCGGAATCCCGCGTGGAACATGTACATTCGGGGCGCCCCCGGGCTGGCGTACTTGGGAGTGGTGAAGATGTTCTCCTTTTTCAGGGACACGTAGCTGATGAGCGATAAAATCAGCAGGGCCACGCTGAGCATGACCAGCCCTAGCACACTGGCGACTCGGGCCATTTTGCAATTTCTCATCCCGGGCTAAGGCTGGGTTTAGGGAAACCGGGGAAATCGGTCCATTGAGCGGCCAGCAGCCCGCTAGCGTGTGAGTGTGTGTGTGTGCGTGCGTGTGTGCTCGCGGGCGCGTGTGAGTGTGTGTGTGGCGGGGGAGGGGGGACCCAGGCAGTTGAGTCGCGGAAGTGGGGAGCGACCTGGAGCCCCGGGGGGGGGGGGGAAGCGGGAGCCGCACCCCCACCCCACCTCGGGGGCAGGGGCGAGCCTGGCCAGGAGCCGAGCAGGAAGATGGAGGGTCTGCGCGGCGGCGTGGCTGGCGACGGAGCACACGGAGCAGTGCGTCCCCGGCTGCCGGCTCAGGCTCCCCCGCGCGTTTCCAGCGAGGTTGCCATCTCCGCCGCCGCCTGCAAGATAAATGTGATTGCAATAGTGTTACACTTCGATCTAGGCACAGGATTTAATTAATGAACTCTAATCTCCTAAATAACCAGGAGGAGGGGTGCGGGGGAGGGAGGGCAGGAGGGGAAGTGGCGGGGTGGGGGGTGGGGGACGGGTAGGAGGCTGAGGCTGGAGCCCACCCCAAGGGCCTTCAGGACCCGCTATGGGTACAGCCGAGTAGGTGGCTGTCAGGAGACAGATGCCCAAACTTAGTTTAATGAACCATTCATTACTTTATAAAATACATCACGAAATAGGACGATAAATAACCTGATTTGCTACCGTGGAGGGTAAACACCAGATGGGTACTTCTCAGAGATGCAAGGAGAATGGTGTTTAGCAAGGCAAACATTTAAAAGCTTTCTTATCTCCATCAGGCTTCCTTCGCTCTGAGCCCCACAGGCAGCACCTGCTGCAGCCTCTCTCTACAAGGAAGATCCAAATGGCAGCTGGGCCAGCCTTCAGAGACATTCTGGAGAATATTCGAAGTTGTCTCGTCGTGTGCTCCTTACTTACAGACTTATCCCTAAAGGTTGGGTATAAGGTGATCTGTAAGTGTGGAAGGCGTGACTGTGTCCCTCACGTCCCTCTCAGTGGTTGGCTTATGGATCCCAGTATCAGGCTTGGAACAGTTAGACCTGATTGATACTCTTTTGCTCACTCCTTAGGCCAACCTTCTGGCCGGGAGAGTTCTGGCCTAAGGTTCCCAGAAGCCAGACCCGTTATAAAGGCACAAAATGTTTTGTTTTGTTTTGTTCTGTTCTGTTTTGTTTTGTTTTGTTTTGCAGGACTTAAGACCTAGGTAAGAGGGGCTTGACTGGAGGGTGGTAGGAAGATACATTTTGAATCGCTTGACCATTTTGTCTCCTTACACGCACATGCTGTCTATCTTAATATATCCATTAGAAATGCAAGTTGCCCTATTTCAGACACGCTCTGAGGAAACTCACTTGTTTCTTTAGCTTTGCTCTTTGCAGTTAGATTATGTTCTTTTCCTCTCTGCCCTCACCCCATGGTTTGGTCGGTAAGCACCACTAAAAGAAGATCAAGGTGAGAAGTTGGCCTTTGAGAGCCTTTTCCATCCAAGGGTGGTGACACATGTCTGTAATCCCAGCACTCAGAGAGGCAGGTGGATCTCCATGAGTTCTAGGTCAGTTTGATCTACAAAGCGAGTCCAGGACAGCCAAGGATACACAGGGAAACCCTTTCTCTCTGAACAAAGAAACAAACAAACAAACAAACCAAACAACAACAAAAAAAGAGAGGCTTTTCCATAAAACAAGTTGAGATTTCTCCCAAAGACTTCTTGCCTTTAAGAAGGTGGGAGCACCTAATGGTATGCTTTGCCTTCGGGACTGGGACTGAAAATTCACCAAAAAGGAGGCCTCTTGAGCTGTGAACTCCTAAAGGACAAGGACCATATCCTCTGTAGTACTGTCTCCTCTTGAGGGAACGCTAGTTAAATGTTGAAGTCCAGGCAACGTCCCTCACCGCGTACGTGTCTGGCCGTAATCAGCCACACACAGGATACTTCTGTTGCCAGTGACGAAGGGGACCACCTAGTACGAGGATGAGGGTCAAGAAGTCACAGATAATCTTTTTCTCATGGGGGTGTTTTGTTTGTTTGTTTTCTTCCTTAAAGAGATTCAGGGGCTTGGAAGATGGCTCTGTTGGCAAAGCACCCGCCATGCAAGCGTGAGGGACTGAGTCTAGATCTCTACTGGTCACACAAAAGCTAGGTACCGCCCTGCTAAGTAGGAAGGGAAGGGAAACAAGGAGGCAGGTGGGTCCCTGGAGCTCACTGGCCAGGTGTTTTTTAGCCAATGGGTTAATTCTGGGTTTAGTGGGAGAGCCCGTCTCAAAACCTAAAATGGTAAGTGATTGAAGATGACACCTGAGGTCAACCTCCGGAACTGATACACATGGACAGTACACGTATGAGCACTCACAGGCACGTGTGCGTATACCCACGTAACCGTATGTACCCACACATGCAACTGTAGAAGAGTTCTGTGTGCTTGATGTGTGCAAGTTTTGTGTTGTTATGGTCGGAATGCCCAACAGAGACCACTAGAGGAAAAAGAGGCCCACTGGGGCTCACTGCTTAGGTTTCCTTCCACTGTGGTGAGCAGGTTTATGGCCTTCGAGGTGTTTTGCTTCCCTGCAAATCAGGAATCCAAGAACAGTGAGATGAGAGACTGTCTGCAACCTTCAGTTCCTGCCCTCATTCACCTACTTCTACCAGCCAGGCCTACCTCCCAGAGGTCTCCAACCCCTTCGAACAAACCAGAGTTCGAAACCAGCCAGTGGGGGGAGGGGCCATTTCAGAGTGAGAACATAACACCTAAATAGGACGAATAAATCCTAATTCTAAATAACCACTCTAATATTTTTAGGAGAGAGAATTGTATGAGTATAAAATGCCAAAAGGACCATGTGATCTTATGACAACTATCCAGAAATTCTGTATGTTGGAAAAATGCTTATTGAATGGGCTGGGGTGTGGCATAGGTTGTCGGCTGAGGGGGAGTGGCCACAACTTACTTCCTGGGTGACTCCTGGCACCTGTGTGTTCTGTGGCATTGGCTGAGTTTCCAGCTTCTCTGTGCTTCAGGCTGCTCATTTGCAGAACCAAGATAAAACCTGCCTGGGATTGGAGTGAAATTAGACATCTCTGCCTAATTGTGACTATTGAATATGAGTGAATCAAATCAAATTGGGAAAGGTTTTAACATCGTTCACTAAGTGCCCTGTTACAGAATGCATAGGGAATGATATACCTGGGGAGAGGCAATTTCCTGCAGAAAACGGCAAAGATCAAGAGACTCCCTTTTCCTTAAAGAAACATGCCTGGAACATAGGCTAGCAATTCACCTCACTTGGATTTAAGAGCTGTTCTAGGTGCCAACTGTGGTGGCACATGCCTTTAATCCCAGAACTTGGGAAGTGGAGGCATTAGGACTTGTGTGAGTTCAAGGCCCGGGTCTACAGAGCAAGCTTCAGGACAGCCTGGACTATGTAGAAAGAGACTGTCTTAAAAAGCAACAACTAAACAGACAAATTCTAATTAATCAATTACATTTTTTTTTTACTTTGTATCCCTAATGTAGCCACCGCCTTTTTTTTTAACTTTTTAAATTACTTTTTAATTTTTTTTATAATTTGATTTTTATTTTATGTACATTTAGTGTGAATGTGTCAGATCCCTTAAAATTGGCATTACAGACAGTTGTGAGCTGCCATGTGGGTGCTGAGAATTGAACCTGGGTCCTTTGGAAGAGCAAACAGCGCTCTTAACCACTGAGCCACCTCTCCATTTCTAAAACTTGTTCTAGAGGCTGGAGAGATGGCTCAGCAGTTAAGAACACTTGTTGCTTTCCTCGAGGACACACATTTTACTTCTAGCATCCACATGGCTGCTCACAACTATCTGTAATTCTAGTCCAGGGTACCTCCTCTGGTTTCTAGCAGGCACTGCATGCAGGTAGTTTACAGCTGTCCGTGCAGATAAACACTCAATCCACAAAGTTATTCTGAGCAGAGCTCTATGATCCTTCTAACCGTGATGGTGGTAATTCAGAGAACAACTGCAGCTCCTGAATACAGGATTTTTCAGGCCTGGGATTGGAGCTCTTTAGTAAGTTAAAAATAATCAAGACTTCAAATAGTTCCTATCAAAGTTTCAAAATTTTATTTTGGAAACATTCTCTGTTTAGAAGAAAAGGGGCAAAAAGAAGAAATAAAGCCTACTTTGGTTTTAAACTTTTCTAGGGGAGCTGTTACACTGGTCAGAGTATTTCCTTCCTCTTGTCCACATTTTGCAAACATGATTTTGTTACACCATGTGTCTTCACCCAGAGTGAATTCCAGGCACCAAGTCATTGGAAAGCTTTGAAAAGAGGGTGCTTTTTATTATAAATACCAGCATTCCTTCCTTCCTTCCTTCCTTCTTTCCTTCCTTCCTTCCTTCCTTCCTTCCTTCCTTCCTTCCTTTCTTCCTTCCTTTATGTTTCCTTTCCTCAGTTCACTAAATGACATGCATAGTTTATTCATAGTAATGCTGAGCAAGATGACTTCATGGTGCTGACTGCCTTTTGGGAAAGGATGGACACTTGAGGAAGTGCTGTGTGAAAAGCCAGGCAACAGGGAGCTCATCTGAGAATGGGGCTCTCACTGATCTGTGTGCAATGTCCATGGAGGACAGAAGGGGGCATCAGATTCCCTGGGACTGGTGTTACACCACTTGTAAGCTGTCACATGGGTGCTAGGAGTCAAACCTTAGACCTCTGGAAGAGCAGCCTGTGCTCTTAATTACTGAGCCACCTCTTGAGCCCCTTTGGTTGGTCCTTCAAGTATAAACAGAACTAACCAGTGTAGGAGTTTTAAAATGGGACCCCTCCCAGCTGGGTGTGATGGCTCCCACCTTTAATCCACCAGAGGTGGAGGCTGAGGCATCTCTATGAGTTTGAGGCTAGCCTGGTCTACATATTGAACTCCAGGCCAGCCACAGGAGGCAGGAAGAAATTGTAGGTAGAGAGATGTGAGGAAGGAAGGAAAGAGTATAATAGGTTTTGAGACAGAAAGAGAGTTACTGTTTACTAGTAAGAGGTAACTCATAAGAGAGTTACCTCAAAAGAAGAGCCTAGAGAAAGTTAAATCAGATTGCGGATGG